CTTAGACCGACCCCCAGAGGAATACCCAAGTGTTGCCTTTGAACTACGCCCCCTGTCAGCAGGAAGCAGCCAGAGCAGTCACCCTCCCATTTCCCCCCTAACAGCAATTAGGGTTACTTCTTCTGGGGGGCGGAATGTGAGAGGAGTTAAGACTGGGTAGTAGGTAGTTAGGGTATCCTGGGTCCCCAAGTCAATTTTACTCAAATATAAAGGGATATTTTTCCCCACCATGTCTTGGATTCGCCAGAGCATGTCTCTCCCAAGACAAGTGCATATCTTATAAGAAACATACTTCCCTGAGAGACAAGGGAGACATTAACATATCAATTCCCCACCTGAAGCCTCAGCCCCCATTCTGTCTCCCATTGTCTTGCCATTGCCAAGGGGGAGGGCTTCACACTGGCCTCTCCATCATTAGAAAGGGACCAAGGAAGTTGGCCAGTGACACCTTTCTGGCCTTTTGTCCCAAGGCCAGGTACCATGGAAACCAGGAATTTTCTTTGTTTATGGAAAAACATCTTTGAGGTAAACCTTTAAAAGATGCTTTCCCCACCATTAATACGGATTTTTTTTCTTCCTTTTCCTCCTACCACTATGGCAGCGGGTAAGGGTCCTTCCCGTCACTAGGACGGGAGTCTCTCTTCTCAACTTTTGTAATAAATCTTGCTTTAAAACTGAAACAAAAAAAAAAAGAAAGAAAGAAGAAGAAGAATTCAGGGAACTAGAAAGTCAGCACACCGGTTAGAGTATAAATTGTAATAATATGGGTTAGTCATTGAGCAAAGAAGGCCTGGTTCAAATCACAACACTCCCGCTGTCAATTCAACTTCCTAATAATGCATCCGTGAGGATGGCTCAACTGCTTAAATCCCTGGGGCCACGATGGTGGCACAGCAAGGTAGTCCTCCACCTGCAGTGCTGGTATCCCATGGACACTGGTTCTAGTCCCAGCTGCTCCACTTCTGTTCCAGTTCCCTGCTAACGGCCTGGGAAAACAGCAGAGGATGAGAGAAGGCCTTGGGCCTCTGCACACATATCAGAGACTGGGAAGAAGCTCCAGGACCCTAGCTGCAGACTGGCCTAACTCGCGTCCTTACAGCCATTTGCAGAGTGACCCAATGGATCAAAGGTCTCTCTGTCTCTCCCATTGGACTTTCAAGTAAAAATAAATAGATCTTTTAAAAAAATTAAATTAAAAAATGAATAAAACTACATAAGTCCCTGACACCCATGTTGAAAACTCAGAGAGTTCCAGTTGGCCAGCATTGTCCTGACCCAGCCTGGCCTTGGGGCATTCAGGAACTGACACAGTGACAGACAACTTCTGTCTTTCCTCTCCACCTTTCAAATAAAAACAACTTTTTCATTTTATTTTATTAGAAAGTCAGATATATACAGAGAGGAGAAGAGACAGAAAGGAAGATCTTCATCCAATGATTCACTCCCCAAGTGGCCACAACAGCTGGAGCTGCACCTAGCCAAAGCCAGGAGCCTCTTTCAGGACTCTCTTGCAGGTGCAGGGTCCCAAAGCTTTGGGCCGTCCTCGACTGCTTTCCCAGGCCACAAACAGGGAGCTGGATGGGAAGCGGGGCTGCCGGAATTAGAACTGGTGCCCATATGGGATCCCTGCACATGCCAGTTTAGCCACCATTTGCCATGCCAGCATTGCATATGGGAGCACCAGCTGGAGTTCCAGCTGCTCTACTTCCATTCCATTAGTTCCCCGCTAATGTGCTTGGGAACACAGCAGAACATGAGCCAAGTATGTTATCCTTTGTCAAACTTTCAGAAAGACCCAAAAAGTGAGAACTCTACATCTATTCTCGGGGAAAATTGGGCTGTATCCACAGCTCCCAGCCCCTGCAGTGTCAATGATCCATTGTACCCTGCCTGGTGGGTGTTCCTTGTTCCCTCTCATTGATTTAAAAAGAAAAAAAGTGGGCTGAAGAATGGAAATGCCTAAACACCAAATAACGCGGTTGATGTGTAAACCATGAGGTGAGGGTGTTGCAGTTGCCTTGAGACAAGTGAAAAGTGTCAGGATGGGGCCGCCCTACCCTGACAGGACAGATGCAGCAACAACTGTGCACATCTGACACCGGAAGCTCCAGGCACAGCAAACCAAACTTTATGCCAAGAATCATGGATTCTCTGAGTTTACAAGGTTCATTTGCTTGAAGTACAAACATGATCAAGGAACTTTCCAGATAAAGGCAATTCTCTGTCTCCAACTTCCACTGTTTCCTTTCTCCTCCTGCAGATGGATCGGCTCTGGACGTTAAACTGAGCGTGCACAGTAAAGACACACCTTAGTTCTTTAGGGGTGTAACTCTCACGGAGGCAAACAATATTTGCTTAGTAATTAAAACATAAGGAACATTCCATTGCCTTAAAAAAAATAAATAAAAAACACTTGGAGCCCGAGGCAGTAGCCTAGCAGTTTAAAGTGCTCGCCTTGCAAGCACCAAGATCTCATATGGGCGCTGGTTCTAATCCTAGCGGCCCTACTTCCCATCCAGCTCCCTGCTTGTGGCCTGGGAAAGCAGTCGACAAAGCCGGTATCCTGCACCCATGTGGGAGACCCAAAAGAGGCTCCGGGCTCCTGGCTTCAGATTGGCTCAGCTCCAGCTGCTGCAGCCACTTGGGGAGTGAATCATTGGACAGAAGATCTTCCTCTCTGTCTCTACTCCTCTCTTTCCAATAAAAAATAAAATAAATCTTAAAAAAAACACTCATTTCATGGCACAATCACAGGAAGAACGAGTAGACCCCAGGTTACCAATACATTAAGCAGTGAGCACCGAGGTCCCCCTTGGTGGGGCACAGCGGCATCACCAAACCTGCTGACTTGTGACCTCTGAACCACAGGAAAGTTACAAGAACTGGCAGTCCAAAACAACCTGATCTAAAAACAAAAAAACAAAAAAAACCTCTATACTGAACAATGGCACAAATTTCTTATGCAACTTAAAATGGTTCAACTTCAATAATACTCCCAATTATAAAATAGTTCTTCAAAAAAGATAATCATTCATATAATCTATTCTATAGAGAATCTAAGTTTCTGTATAATCTCTATTATCTTCCATAATCTTACAATTATGGAAACTAATGTAAAAAAAACTGGCAATAAATAAATAAAGAAAATAGATTAAACTGACAAGGTTTGGTATCTTCAAGTTTCATTTTTAGATACTCAAAATAAAAAAGCAAGTATCAGGTTAGAATAATGAAAAGTACTTGGTATAATTTATTGTTAATTACAAGAGGCAAGGTTTAATAATATTCACCAACCATACAAGAGTCCAGATTATTAACATTTATCTTGAAGCAAAACTAGAATCTCGCCTATCTTTGAAAGCAATTATCTGTTGTCAAAACCATCCAACCTGGAAACCGAGTAAGTAAAACTAACTGTCCTTGAAAATTAAGTAAAACTCTAGCTTGCACTCAACACTTAAAAAATCCCACTGCGATGTCTCCGGCTTTCTCTCGCCGGACCAGTAGAGGGAGACTGAGACAGCTGGCCTGGTCCTGTCTGCTCCTGTGAAATTGGGGAGGGGGAGCGGAGGCTGTATTTAAATGCCCTGCTGTCAATCAAAGGACACTTCCTACAATCACAGCCACCACATCTGCTATTACTCGTGAGCGTGCTTCGCCAAGATACAACACCCAATGGTGCCCGGGAAAGCCGCTTCACCTAAAGGTGACCGCAGGCTCTGCCACAACACCCAAATAAGGACTTTGGGAGCCCAACCCCAACTAGTTTCTTTGTTTAAATGCCTGCGAATCCCTCCCACGCCGGAGTCAAGAGGCTGTGGCGCCGCCCTTTATTAGCCTCACACTTTGATTACAAAACACACGAGTCGGCGGCCTGGCTGCGGAGGCGGCCCGAGCTCTCACAAACGTCAAACCCGCAGCGCGGCGGCGGCTGAATCAGAGGGCAACGTCCTCCGCCGCCTCCGCCAGCCGCCCCGAAGTTGGCCGCCCCGGCGCCGGTGGGGGGCCCCCGCTGCGGGCCGTCCCGGGGTCGCCCGGCCCCGGGGAGACCGCAACCGCACTCTTTGTAAAGTTTGAGGCGCAGCGCGAGGGCATCGCGGGGGTGCCGGGGGGCAAGAGTTTGGAGAAGCTGTCCCTCCTCAGGGGTCCCAGCCCCGGCAGCCACGGGGGTGTGTTGGGGTGCGGGGTCGCGCGACCCCCGTCAACCTGCCGCCCGCGCCGGTGGCGGGGGGCACCGTGCGGGTCCCTGAGAGAGGAGTCCCTCATCTGTTGCTGTGTAGACTCGCTCAACCCCTCCGAGCTGACCGGTGCGATCGCCTTACCGCCGCCCCCCCCCAACACACACACACACACACACGCCGCCCCCCAACACCTCCACCCCCGCGTCCCGGCGCCCCGCGGGTCGCGGAAGTTTAGTAAAAAGATGGCAAAGAGGGGGCGCGCCGGGGACCCCGCGGCAGTGGGGGGACAAGACGCGCGCTGCCCGAGCGGAGCCCCGTCGCCTCCCGGAAGGAAGGCTGGCGAGGCGAGCCGGCCCGGGCACAGCGGCGGAGCCGACCGGAGCTCCCCGGGCGCGGCGGGGCGGGCACCGAGAGGGGCGGCGGGCACCGAGAGGGGCTGCGGGGCCCCGCCGGCGCTCCGCCCGCCGCGTCCTCCCGGCTCCTCGGCCCCGGGCTCCCCCTGCCAACTTCTCCGTCGGCCCCCTTTGTTCCTGTTTGTTGTGGTGACTCTTCGCCCGGGCCGGGTGAGCCCACCGGCTCCCCCCTCGGCAACCCAACCCTGGTGCCTGACGAGCCCGGGGCTTGGGGGGGCCCCCCGCGCGCCCCACTTGCCCGACCCCCCGGCAGCTCCGCGCGCCTGGGGGTGGGGGGGTCCCCGGGACACACCGGGCACGGCGCGGCGGCCCGGCCGGACGGGAGGTGCGGCGGCTCGGCCGGGCCAGCGGCGGTTGGTCGGTGGCCGGCGACGGCGGTGCGGGGACTGGAGGGGGGTTTATTTACCTGCCGTGGAACCAGTCCTTGCAGACATCGCACTCGATCATGAAGCGGTTCACGTCGTACGGCTGCCGGCACACGCAGTACACGGGCGGGGGCGGCGGGGGTGCCGAGGCCCGGCCCGGAGCCGCCACCGACACGGCTGCCGCGGCGGCTCCAGCTGCTGCTCCCGCGGCCACCGCCGCCGCCGCTCCGGCCATCTTTAAAACACACACATATACACACACACACACACACACACACACGCACGCACACGCTCGCTCGCTGCTCCGCTTGCCGACTGGAGCGAGCGCAGCCGCCAGCCAGCGCCGCCTCCTGCAGCAGTGGGAGCAGCAGCAGCAGCCCCGGCGGCGGAGGCGCCTGGTGCACGCGCGCGCGCGCGCGCGCCCGCGAGGAGGAGAAGCGGCGGCGCGCCGCGTGCGCGCGCGAGGCGGCAGCCCCGGCAGCTTCCGGCGCTGGGCGCTCGGCTGTGCGCGTCTCGCACACGTCTCCCCCCCGCCTGCCTCGGGCGCGCTCCGCTCCTCACGGCGGCCGCCCCGGGAGGGAACGAGCCGCTCCAGGGCTCGCGGGGTCGGGGAGGCGCCCCTCAGGCCGGGGCTCCGTGTGAGGACAAGTGGCGGCGGCCGAGGCCGGCGGCCGGACGGGCGGCCCCAGTCAGGACGTGCCGGGAGCGTGCCGGGAGCCGGCTTCGTTATTTCTGAGAGGAAGCGGAGGCCGGGTGACGTTCCTGCGGAGTGAAAAGGGGCAGATGGCCGCGTCTGTGTTGTGGGAAGGGAGGGAGGGGAAAGTGTCAGCCTGCCCAGGTCACCTTTCGCCTGAGGGAAAAAGAGTCTGAACTGCATCCGCAGCGGCCCCGCCGAGATCGGGGGGTACCAGTGCCTCTGGTCCTGCCCGGGGAGACCAGCCGATCATCGTGCCCTTCCGAGGGGGAGGACTGGGCTGGGAGACCCTCAGGACTCGATGAACTGTCCCGCTGGGATTTTCATCCAGCGATGGTTGGAGTCCCGGGTCGGAGATGGAGGTTGCACTCCCAAAGAAGTTGCATCCCGTAAGGAGTTGTCCCCAAAATGGGGTTACTGGAGAAAAAGTGGAAACGCACTGGCGTGCGTTGAAGTAATGTGGTTTAGCTGCGAAGGCGTTGGAGTCCCAGGCTGGGGTGTATTCGGAATGCCTGCGGTGGAAGCCTAGGTTACGTTTCCCTCGCCGCGATGGGGGTTGATGCGGATCAGTGGTACTTCGTGCAAAATAAAAAGCCACCGATACATGCTTCTGAATGAAACTGAGACACAAACTGTGAGATGAGAAACCAAAGAATAAAAACAGCAGCTACTGACTAGAAGAAGAATACCTTCGAATCCGCACAAGCTGGACGAGATGTTAAGGATTAGTGAATATTTCTCGCTGCATTTCAGAGGGCATGTGTATCCGTGGGAAAGGCCCCAGGTCGTTTTTCTTAGGGAAAGAGAAAAAGCTGTCCCTAGCACCATCTCTAGGCACAGAATCGCCGACCTATCCTTTTTATAGTTTAAGAAGTAAGAAACTTGCCTCAAAGTCTCCATGGTCAAAGCTGGAACTAAAGTTTAACTTTTCTTGATTCTGTATCCAGTCATTTTTCTAACCACACCTGCTGTTTGGCACATATATTGCAGGAAAACAAAAATCTGGAAGTAATGGTTGACCACGAAATCTTCTTTCTTTCTTTTTTTTTTTTTTGTTGTTTTTTAGATTTTTTTATTATTATTATTACAAAGTCAGAGAGGAAGATCTTCCATGCACTGATTCACTCCCCAGGTGAGCGCAACAGCCGGTGCCTGCCCATATGGGATCCCAGCACCTTCAAGGCCAGGACTTTAGCCACTAGGCCACTGCGCCGGGCCCAAAATCTATTTCTAAAGGAAAAAAAGAAAAAGTGACTTACTTTCTTGTCATTTTGGTATACGGATTGGTGGAGTGAAAAAAAACCCAACGGGCCCTGCGCCGTAGGGTAGTAGTTAAAGTTCTCGTCTTGAACACAGGGATCCTGTATGGTGCAGGTTCTAATCCCGATGTCCCCTCTCCGCCCCCCGCCCCGCTCCCCATCCTGCTCCCTGCTTGTGGACAGAGAAAGCAGTGCAGGATGGTCCAAAGCCTTGGGACCTTGCACCTGTGTGGGAAACCTGGTAAAAGCTCCGGGTCAGCTCAGCTCCGGCCATTACAGCCACTCAGGGGGTGAATCAGCAGATGGAAGATCTTCCTATCTCTCTTCTGTGTACCTGGCTTTCTAATAAAAATAAATAAATCTTTTTTAAAAAAAGCCCAACATTAGGAGGCTACTAAGCCACTTGCACAAGCCACTCCACTTCTCTGGAACTGGGTTTCTGAGGATCTTCCCTAATTACATGACAGAGGCTTCACAAGAAACAGAAGATAATGTATTTGAAAACATACTTGGCACAACCGTGTCTACTCAGAAGATAGCAGGGCAGTGATAGACCAGCAGCTGCAGGGTTAGGAGAGCAAGGCATCCACACAGAAGCTGGCAACTTGGTGTGGCATGTTCTCTGGAAGCCACCCAGCCTTAGGGTGTCAACAAGGTGGTGGGAAGTGGGGTGAAGAGGGCAGCCCCCCCAATGGGGAGGGGGTGGTGGTGAGAAATTGTCAACTACAAAGGTTTGGTTATTTAAGTACCTTACTGAGCATGGGACCCAGACATCTTGCTATTGGAGAAGAGAATTACAAGCATGAAAAACAGAACTGCATTGAATGCCGTGTGCCAGTAACGAGGGCATTAACCTATCTCTAAAAATACATAGAAACCGGGGCATTTGTACATACGGGTCCTTCGCACTGAGAGGATATGGGAATCCTAACACCACAAATCAGTTCTTCCAGCCCAGATCGTGGCTGTCCAGTACCGTTCACCTCCAAAACTGGAGAAGACAAAGTACAGACGGAGCCTGGAGTCTCCAGTTGTGCCAGAAAATATGAGCATATCAAAAGGACTCAAGCCAACCCATGTCCCAACTATCCAAACCAGGGACAAGCCAAACTTCAAACTTAGATGATAATGATATATTATAATCCTTTGACGACTGGAGGGAAAAAACAAACAAACAAACCAGAAATTAGAACATTCATGGGGGCAATGGCCTTTGTCCTGGGCAGTTAGCATGGACAGTGGGAAGCCTGCATTCCATTTTAGAGTTCCTAGGTTTGCGTTTTGGCCCTACTTCTAATTGCAGCTTCCTCCTGCTCTGGGCAGCAGCAGCTGATGACTCAAGGTAGCGGGTCTTTGTCACCCAAGTCCAAGACCTGTACTTCTGGAGTAGTTCCTTGCTCCCAGCTTCTGCCTGACCTAGTCCTACCTGTTGGGGCATTTAGGTGATGGGCCAGAGATTGGGAACTCATTCTTTCGTCCAAATAAGTTGACTTCTTAAAATTTTCATAAGAATGAGTGCATTTACAAAGTTTCAAAACCTCTCCCCACAAAATTTATTTTAATTTTGAAGAAAACTTGAGTAACTTCACATTGTTGGGAAGGACACAGACCATGAACTAACTGCCATCAATAGTGAGACGAGACAAACTGAAATCACAAGGCCTAAAAGGAGTCAGTGATAATACAGCGTCATTTCAGTGTATTTTCTACGCACTCTATTTGAGTTCCCACACAGAAATGTCAGCCAAGAATAAAAAATTCTGTATGACATACAAATCTTTAATGAAGTTTAAAACAAAACACAAAAATTCTACCTTTATGGGTCAGTGGCATGGTGTAACACCCTAATCCTCCATCTGCAGCATTCACATCCCATAGGGACACCTGTTCATGTCCCAGCTACTCCACTTCCAATCCAGCTCCTTGCTTATGCACTGGAAAAGCAGCGAGGATGACCCACGTGGGAGACCTAGAGCAAGCTCCTGGCTCCTTGATTCAGGCTGGCTCAACTCCAGTCATTGTGGCCATTTGGGAAGTGAAGCTAGCAATGGAAAATCTCTCTTTCAATCTGCATGTCTCACCTTTTCTCTGTAAAAATCCACCTTTCAAATAACAATAAATTTTGAAAACCAATCTTTAGAAGAGAGGAAGACAGAAATTCTGGCTAATGCCCTAAGTATTGGTGACAAGATCCATGTGGGGTTTTGTTTTTTAAAGATTTACTTATTTTTATTACAAAGTCAGATATACAGAGAGGAGGAGAGACAGAGAGGAAGATCTTCTATCCAATGATTCAGTCCCCAAGTGAGCACAACGGCCGGTGCTGTGCCGATCCAGAGCCAGGAGCCAGGAACCTCCTCCAGGTCTCCCACACAGGTGCAGGGTCCCAAGGCTTTGGACCATCTTCCACTGCTTCCCCAGGCCACATGCAGGGAGCTGGATGGGAAGTGGAGCTGCCGGGATTAGAACTGGCGCCCGTATGGGATCCTGACACGTTCAAGGAGAGGACTTTTTAGCTGCTAGGCCCCGCCACCAGGCCCAAGATGCATGAGTTTTCATTAATATGTGGGTTGGGATTTTATAACCCACTGCCTCTGTAACAACTTACATGTGAGTTTTACTTTTGTCAGTTTAATGGAGATGATAACAATGTAAAAAAGTTGGGTGCATTAAATGAGGTAACAAAATGTTAGATACAATTCATAGCACATAATAAGCCATGAAGCTATTATGTAATGTACTTTGTAACAATACAACAGATTTGAAGAGCCAGAGAGGAGAGACAACTAAAGGAGTATTATGGCACTAAAAACAGCGAAGAAAGAAAAGTCTCAGAAAGAAAATACCTTGAAGCAAGCAAGCCAGCTTGGTGTCAGACTGTGGTGTTTTCTCTGCCTTTCTATTTCACTGATACAGTACCAACAATAGACATTTCTTGCTTTCCATATTAAATCTAAGCTATTCTGTTTTTAACACTCCTGTTCGTAAAGCTCTGACAAGGAACTTGTGTTCCCATGAAACAATTCTATTTCCTGCTACTAACAGTACTTGTCTATCTCCATCCATAAAGGTATCTGCTATTCCCTTAAAAAATCAAGCATGCTTTGGAAACGCTTCATGAAACTACTGACACATTAAATGATAACAGTTTGTTCTCATGTAGCACTTTATACTACTTAAGCGTGTCCATCAGATTAAATAAACAAGGAACAGCCTGCCTACAGTTGTGAAAAGGACAAGGAAATGTTCATTTTACTGAGATGAAGGGACGAAGACAATGTTTAGATGGGAAACGTTGCCCGAGGAGAGTATATCTTGAAAAAGGCTATTCCACTGCAGCGGGCTGGGGGGTGCAGAAAAGGGGAGCAGA